TGTACTGAAATATTAATTTGATTGTATGTTAATAAATAAAGTTGTCTGCATAAGGTTGAAAGACATAAAAGTATGGTTTTGGGTTGGTAATACAAGTTAGGATAGAAAGTGAACTAGGTATCAAACTTTGGACTCAACAAGATAAGATAGATAATAGAGTATTTTCTCTGAATTTGCCAAATGCAAATGGACTGGACATTGTGAATGTAATTCTTACCTAATAATTGTTATCATCGTATATAGTTTTACTATGTTTTAGTTAAAACCTTCCCTTTTAATTTAGACAAAAAGGGGAAATGTTGTGTGATATTTTGATCACATTAAGACAATAAAGTGGGGTTGGGGATTTAGCTCAGTGGTAGAGTGCTTGCCTAGCAAGCACAAGGCCCTGGGTTTGGTCCTCAGCTCTAGGGGAAAAAAAAAAGACAATAAAGTTTGCTTTGAATCAGAGAGCGGAGCTAGCTATGAGCTGACCAAAATTAGTCATAGAGGTTTGGGAGGACTGAGGACAGATAGACAGGAAGTAGTAAGGCAGGGCTTAGAGAGGATCTCAGTCCTTTTGGATGGAGGAATAAAGAGACAGGAGGTTACTGGTCGCTTCTCTGCCACTTCTCTGATCATTCAGGTTCCTACCCTGATCTCTGACTCCTGGTTTTTTATTTATAAATAATAATTAGATAAACACAATACTTGCACCATGCAAAAGGGAACTGGTGGGATCCCTTTCCCTCTGGGTCTCCTCAGCCTCTTCTTGACTTTGTCAGCTTCACCTTCATCACCCCCCAAGACTGATTATAATCTGTCCTAAAACTCACAGCATCTCTCATGTTGCCCCTCCTAGCTCAGATGCAAAGAGAGCTCTCACATAACATCCTTTCCCACCACGTGTGACAGAGTACACAGGAGAGCTGCTCTTCCTCTGATCTGGCCCTTCCTGGATGTTCTGGGTCACCACCCACTACTTGTAGGAAGAGGTCCCAACAAAGATCGCGTCTGTTCTGTGGGACACGATCATGCTCTGCATGTGTTCATCTCTATGAACACCAACTCATAATTGTTTGTGTCTCTCCTATGAGACTCTGGACTCTCAGAGGCAGGGGTTAACTGTTTTCACTTTGTATCTCTAGGATCTAGAACATGGCTGTCATGTATTAACACATAAGCGATGCTTGGTGGGTGGGTGGATAGGTGGACAGCAAGTGGGTATACTAATGGGTGGACAGTGAATGCATGTGTGGATGGATGGATGCATGCATGCATTAGCACATGAGTAACTGTGTGGATGTGTGGATGGATGGATGGATGGATGGATGGATGGATGGATGGATGGATGGATGGATAGATGGATGGGCAGACAGACCAATGGGTAGATAACAGAACAAAAGTTCAGGTGGATGGATGAAAGATGGTGTGTTAATAGGTGGTTAATGGAATAAATGTACAAATGGATGCATGCATGAATACAGATATTCATATGGATCTCTCTCTCCCGTCCCCTTCTCTCTCTATCTCTCTCCATCTCTCCAGGATTGAAGGTGATTTAGACAGAGCCTTAAGTGGACATTAGAACCCAGCCTCCCCTGGTCACATTTCTTCCTCCTGATTGCACCATCCCTACATGCACCTTTCCTAAGGGATGCTTGTTTCCTGCCACAGCCGTCTCCTCAAGACTTTTCAGCTTTACCAAAACAGAGACCACATCCATCATGTTTCACTTTGATTCCAGCACATAATACTGAGCCCAGTATTAAGATACTTGTGAATGCTAGGAAAATGACTCCCAATGGTCACGTGGAACAAGGGCCAAGGGGGTAGGACAAGAAGGAGACAATCTGGAGCAGTCACTAGAGAAGGGTGGGGGTACAAAACAGCCCAGGAGTCTTGAGTTACAGGGATGGACCTCAAGAGGCAGAGAGGAATTATCTTGATCTCTACTACAACCTGAACTCCAAGACCACCCCAACCCCAGTCTTTTCATGATTCTCCCTCAATTTCCTCACACTGTCATCCAGGGCCCCCCTGAGACTTGTGGCTCAGAAAAGATGGCCCCTACATCCACTACTTCATCCCACGCTGGGCTCCTCCCTTGCTACAAGAGTCCCATCCTGGCCCATCAGGGAGCCCACCTTTGAAGGCCTCATCCAGGTCTTCCTTCCCAAAAACAACCCCCAAGTCATGGATGGCACAGGTGTGGAATTGCACACGGAAGATGACGTCTCGAGCCGGGCTCCGGAACTTCTTGTGATAACACTTCAGCTGCGTGGGGAAGGGGCAAAGGGAGAAAGGTCAGGTCGCAGGGATCCTCCTAACTCGCTCCATTAGCTGAGCCCCGGAGGCTCACCCCAGACTCAGGAGGGAGAGGTCACCAATGCCAAACAAGATCTCAAAGCTCTTTGGGTAACTTCTAGAGCAGAAGAGGAGGGGAAACAGTCTGGAGTTGTGGGGAATGTCCTCCCAGATGGTCCCGCATACAGGTGGGTATGGAAAAGGAAACGGGGCCTTTATAACTATGGCAAGCCGGTCTGAGTTTAGAATCGGGAGTGTCTTGTCCCCAGTCTCGAGCTAGAAGGTCACAGTTCACAGTGAACGGCAGTTCCCTGAAGCTGCCCCGGAGCAAAAGATGAAGCTAGGAGAAGAATGTCCACTCCAAGGGAGGAAGGCAGACCAAGACCGTGTGAGTCTGGGAGGACTTGTGGGAAGCCACAGTTCTAAACCCAGAAGCTCCCTGGGGGACAGCTGCATGTCCCATGTCCCACGTCCCCAGGGCAGAGCGGGAGCAGGACAAGAGATGGGACACTTAAGGAGGAGGGTGGGGCTCACCAAGATGTCTCCCTTCAGGAGCAGCCCTGGTTCAATGGTGATACAGATGCTGGCCTGGCTGTCTCCGGGGATGTTGCTGAGGGAGAGGTGAGGCGATGAGGGAGCGTGCTCCGGAAGAAGCAGGCTCCCTCCCTTCTCCCCCACCCCTGTCCTCACTCACACAGACTACTTACTAAATGCCAGATGTGTACACAGGCTGCATGGCTTGGTAGATGCGGAGAAACGGTCGGCACCCTGTCAGAGACGGAGGGGAGGGGTGTGTGAGTCAAGCAGCAGAAATGGTTGGGAGATGAGAGACATGGGGAGGGGAAAGGAGAAAAAAGAGGAAGAGGAAAAGAAGGAAGCAAGAAAGGGGAGGAAGACTAACTTCATTTCTAAGGCATTTTAAGGAGACAAAAACTGCCTCCCCCAGTGTCTTCTGCCCCTCGGCACGGCCAGGTGTCAACCCCACGCTGCAGCGGACGAGGGTTGAGCTCTGCTGAGAGCCCCACACCGGCCTAGGTGACACTACAGCGTGGCATATGGCTTACCACCCAAGGCCACCGAGAAGGAAATGGAGGCTGGAGGGAGGGGACTGGGCAGGTACCTCCTTTAGACTCAAAGTTGGGGATGCCATGCATGATCACATGGTGCAGGAACAAGGGCTTGTTGTTCATTTTGATGGAGCCAGAGAGGAGGCCGCTGAAGTAGTGCACGTACCTGTACAGAGATAGGGTAGCATCAGGGAAGGGCCTGGGGAGTCCTCTATTCAGCCACCCATTCAGCCACCCATCCATCCACCCACCTACCCATCCATCTACCCAGCCACCCACCCATCCACCACTCACTCACATATCTGTCCACCTACTAACCCACCCACCAATCCACATATCCATTCACCCACCCATCTACCCATCCATCCATCCATCCATCCACATATTTATTTATCCTTCTATCCATTCACTCTTTCTTCAAGAACACCACCCTAGGCTTCCATCTACCCCCACCCCCATGACACATGCAACCCCCCAGGCCACAGAGCAGCTGGGTTTCCCCAGCCAGTGCAGGTCTCCAGACTTGCAGAGCCCCAGGAAGAAAAAGAACATGAGGCCTGAAAAACTACAGAGCCTAGAGCCCATTTGGCGTTCTCTAGCACCCCCTGGTGGTGAACATGAGCATCGCTTTCCGTCCTCACTCCCAACCCAGGCATCCCTGGCTGGGACAAGTTAGCAGCTCACAACTACACAAAGCAAGCTGCCCAACCAAACATCCCTAACAGCCTGACTAGGCCAAACCCAGTTTATGACTATTCTCACCGAAAACTTATGCTAGACCCCGGTTCTGCCACACAGCAAACAGTAAATGCTTAGTAATTACAGTGCTTATTTTATTTCCTCCTGAACGTATGGAGTTTTCTATATTAACTTCTTTATTTGGGATCTGAGATAATTAACTTCCAGTAAGTATCCTGTCTCTAGGTTGGTTTGTAGTTGGGTTTTTAGTTTGGTTTTTTTGGGGGGATTTTGTTTATGTTTCTGGTGTGTGTGTGTGTGTGTGTGTGTGTGTGTGTGTGTGTGTGTGTGTTGTTTAGGGACTAAACCCAGGGTCTCCTGCATGCTACGCGCTCAACACACTAAGCTACATCACCAGCCGCAGCAACCTCCAGTTCTTTTAACACAAATCTTGCTGGTAGAAGGGACGGACTGAGCCATCTCCTCTTTTTCTGACGAGAGGGAAAATCAAGTCCAGAAAGAGCTGTGACACACAGCAAGATCACACAAAGCAGGGGGTGGGAGAGAGAAGGAGAGAAGCCTGGACTCCGAAGCATCTCCGGAACCACAAATCGGTCCTCTGGTGCTGATGGGTTGACATTTCCTCCTTTCTAGTTTGCTGGAGAACCAGGTTGAATCCGACAAGCCAATCAAGGGCCGTCTGGGACTCTACAGGAGCCAATAGCTCCACAGGAGGGTGAGACTCCAATTATGACACCAAGACAACACCCCCCCACCCCCGCCCATCTCTTGGCCCCTTGGCCCTCCTCCAGGCCCGGTCTCTGAGCCTGGGTGGGGCCATTTCAGCCTCCCCTCGCAAGATAATCTGATGGGCATTGCCAGCTCCTATTCAGGGCCCTGCCCAGCCCCCCTGGCCCGTTACTCAAACCGGAAACCTGGAATGGCAGGTTCCCATCAGATCTCCTGACCAGGCCAACAGGATGTGTCTGTGTTCTGGGGACAATGAGTCCGAGGGCGGGTGACAATGAATGGCTGAGCTACAGGCAAAGCCCCTCCTGCTCATTCCTTGCTCTTCCCTCTCCAGCTGCCGGGTTCCCTGTAAGCAACACTAACAAGAAAGCCGAGGGAAAGTGGCAGGGAACGTTCCGGAAACCAACCGCTGCACTTTCTCATGTGTGTGTAGAGAGTGTGGCCTGCCCCCACCCAACAAATGCAGTGGCCCGTGGGAGGGAGCTGTGGGCAGACACAGATAACACACACAGACAAATTCACATGACCACTGCATGGCATGTAAGCATGTGAGGAAACCCTTGGACCTCTTCTCTTTCTGACTAGGGGAGCCTAGGTCTTCACTGCTTAGCATCATGGTGACTGTTCAGCCCACCTTCTCCAAGCCACAGTAAGACAGAGTAACGGTCCCATCACATCCCTATTAGTAAGTCGACTGTAACCTTCAGGGTTAAAGGTGACTGAGAACATGTTGTCACGTGTGCATGTCAGAACCTCAGGAGCTGGTGCATGGCTTGCCATGCCTCCTCCTGTGGAAGAGCCAGAGACCACCAGCGCTGATGGTGTCTGGGAGGCCATCAGTCAGTGAGGGCACGCTGCTGGAAAGCGCTGGGCTCCTTGGTACCTGGTGAGTACTCGTGAACTTTAATCTGGACTCCGAACTACAAAGGCAATAATAACGGTCTCCAGCAGTGACTACAGATCCTGTCCAGATAAGCAGAGTGGGGATATGGGTATATGCTGGGGATCCTCAATATGAAGAGGCAGGTAAGGCCCTTGGAATCTACAGCTAAGTTCCCAGGAGCCACAGAAGCCATGAGGGCCTTTAGCCTCTAGCCTTCCTGCCCGCTGTGCCCAGACCCTTACCCTTGGCTTGGCTATCCACCTTCACTCTGCTCACTCAGACCTCCCGCCCCCCCACCCCACCCCGGGCGTGTGTCATTCTGAACCAGCCCTGTGCCCGCCCATCACTAACAGCGACGGTTTGACCTTTCTTCAAAAACATCTGTTGGCAACTGCAGCCACCTTCTGTTTGTAAGCACACAGTTGTTCATAAGAAGCTTGCCCACACATGCCCTTGTGTGACAGATTTAGTGTCCTGTCCTTGGTGTGAGAACGGGGCTACGCCAGCCCAGAGGGGTGGCAGGCCCACAATGCACAGCCACACCAGGGTTCCTGCTCTCTAGAGCCCCAGCCTAGGCTAGGGCTTGCCATGGCTACAGACGCCCCATGACCAGCCGACCTTGACACTGCCCTTGACACCCCCCTGCCCTGGTGGACCAGACACCGCTGAATCAGGTGCCATCCAAGGGCAGAGCCCTGTGAGGCAGCAGGGAGCACTTCCAGACACCACCCTGGCCCCCAGGTCCCCAGCTCTGCACGTATATTCCAGCTCGGTCACCACTCATTGTGGCCCCACTGGCCTATCTCCACCCTAACCTCAGGCTTCTCATCTGCAAAAGAAGGGTGGCCCTGGTCATCATCACTGTTCCAGTTGGGGTTTCAAAATGACCTCCCCCCAGAGACTCCAGGCTATCTCCACGAAAAAAAGCCAGTTCCCTCCAGCACTCTCAATGTTACAGCTCCCTAACTTGGGTCTTCTCTCTCTTGCCTCCTTTCTCGCTCTTCTTTCTCTCTTTCCCCTCCTCTATTCCCTCTCTTCTGTCCCTTTTCTCTCTTCCCTCTCTCTACTCTATCCCCCCCTCTCTCTGTCCCTGGTTCTGTCTCTCTGAATCCTGTCTCTGTCTCTCTCTCCCCTCTTCACGCTCCCTATCTGGCATCAGCTCTTCTGGATGGTCACGTGTTTAATGCCTATCCCTCTCAACAGACCCACTCAGTGGGGAGGGACTCTGCTGTGCTAGCCTGGATGTCCCAGTGCCCACAGCTACAGCAGCGTTCCTCAACTTTGGTGACGAATGACTCCATCCGGTCCTGCTTCCTGTCTGGGCTATTATTATACGCCCCAGTAAGAACATGTGGCTGGGGCCCCTTAGCAAAATACTATAAATTCTCCCAAGAGAAGGTGCCCCCTTATGGTGCTATCTATGACCTCCAAGGATAGGCGTTAGGGACACCAGTGTCATGTGTACTCATCCGCACACTGAGATGGCCAAGAACAGCATGCATCTTTGTACATAGGCACCTGCTCCTCCAGAGGCATGCCACAACAGACTCTCTTCTGCTAGAGGCCTCAAAAGCCAACTGACACCCCAAACTGTGGGCACCAACATGCCCATGCCACTACCGTCTTAATGCCTGTGCTTGGTATACCCTCAGTTAAGCAGATGCCCATTCCCTGAGAGGGCACAAGGCCAGTATCCACTACAGGGAGTATGCACACACTGGTTACTCACCTCCTCTGGGACGGCTGGCCAATGGGCACAATCTTATCCTCATAGAATCTTTTCATTGCAAACCGGTCCAGAGCCTGGTCAGCACTGTGGGGAGACACAGATGATCAGAGAAGCCCACTCCTACACCTGAGGGCCCCTTGTCCCCTCACTCAGGTGTTCTGGAATATTCCTTTACACTGTGTGAAGATATTTCACTATGGTTGGTTTAAATAAAAGCTAAGCAGCCAATAGCTAGACAGGATTTTCAGGGCAGAGAGAATGCTGGGAAGAAGAGGGGCGGAGTTGCCAAGGAGTCTCCAGCCAGACATGGAGGAAGCAGGAAAGCAACGTGGGAAGAAAAAAGGTAATAAAGCCATGAGGCAGAAAGTAAATTAATAGAAATCAGTTCATTTAAGTTATAAGAGCTAGTTAGAAACAAGCCTAAGCTATCTGTTGAGGTTTCATAATTAATAAGAAGTCTCCATGTGGTTATTGGGAAGCTGGCTGGTGGGATGGTGAGACTGAAAATGTCTGATTACACTCAGACTTCCCTAGGCTTGCACAGCCCCCCAGACAACCCTGGTTGCTGTGGAAGGATAAATCCCTCCTCCAACCATGCTGCACTGAGAAGCCTCCAGGAAGAGCATGCTCAATGTGGCAGTTTGAATGTAACTGGCCCCCATAAGCTCATAGGGAGTGGCACTACTAGAAGGTGTGGCATTGTTGAAGGGGGTGTGGCTTTGTTGGAGGAAGTGTGTCACTGTGGGGGCGGGCTCTAAGATCTCCTATGCTCAAGATACCACCCAGTGTCTCAGTCCACTTCCTGTTGCCTGCAGATGAAAGATGTAGGACTCTCAGCTCCTTCTCCAGCACCATGTCTGCCTGCACGCTGCTGTGTCCCCCATGACGATAATGGACTGAACCTCTGCTGTAAGCCAGTCCCATTTAAATGTTTTCCTTGCTAAGAGTTGCCATGGTCATGGTGTCTTCACAGCAACAGAAACCCTGATTAAGACATTCAACCATCTCTAATCCGTAGGGGACTCTACAGCCAAGCTGCTTGGGCCCTCATCTCTAGACTGCTACTAATTACTCCTGAGACATAATCCTCTCCATAAAACCTCATTCCCCTCACCAAATGAGGCTTAGAGGAGATTACATGAGGTGACACCCGTTAAGAGCTTGGCAGCCATGGGTGCCCACTCAGCAGACACAAGGCTGGGCTGGTTTCTGATACCCTCCACACAACCCACCCACCCATCCTCTGAGCACACAGAGGTCATTCTCGTGCTCCAATAACTTCCCATCATGCTCACAGTAAATTCAAAGTTCTCATTAAGGCCGGCAAGGCCATTGCTCTCTGTTACCCTGACTGCCCCGAACATTCTTTGACTCGATACTCGCCGGGCCCTTTGTCCATACCCATAGCTCCTCTCCACGACCCACAGAAACCCTTGAGGTCCCTACAGCCACAGGTCCCCCTGACCACATGCCCCCAGCCACTTCTAGCCTCTGTGTTTTCATAGTCCCAATCATGGATGCTACTGACAAACATGTTTAGTATTTAAAGTCCTCCAGAAGTTGGGCTGTGCCCTCTGAATCCTTCCAAGCACCATGGAACATGGTCCTGGACATGGCAACATCTGGGCAGCCAGGCTGGATGAAGGAGCCTTCAGTCTCTGTGGCGAGTCAGGACAGGATCTGCCCACTGGCTGGTTCCTACTTATTCTCCCAAACACCAAGGAAAAAAGAAAACCCTGCCAGCCTGAGATAACTTCCAGCTTGACCCTTGGGCCCAATTCTGATGCAACACCATTCTGGCTTCTTCCTGCCTCATCTAGGGAAATAGAAAGCAACTGAGGGGGGCTATGTGGTCCCCCAAACTGCTGGGTGGGTGTCTCCACACAGGGGAAGGCTCTCCCCCCGCTGCCAGCTGTTTTTATCCTGCCTCAGAGCTGAGAGCACTTTCTCCAGCTCGGGGGGCCCCTGCACCTCTTATTCCCTCCTGTTCCTCTATCTGAGGGCACTTCCTGGACCCCAGAAGGCATGTGGATGAGAGAAGGATGTCCCCAAATCAATGTCCAGATGACAGAAGCTGGGACAGAAGACAGCTGACCTCTCACCTGGCTGAAATGTTGCTGTAGTGCATATACGCTGCGATGACAACCCCAATCCTGCCTCGGTTTCCCTGAAAGAGGCAAAAAAGCAATCACTGTTCCAACAGGCTCTGCTGTATGCAGCGCATCCAGAAGCCTAGTGGCCAAGGGTGGGAGAGGAGAGTGCAGTTCTGGAGAAAGAGGAACACTGAGAAGGGAGGCAGGAGGGGAGAAGTGAGAAAAGCTAAGCCCGCTCTCCACGGCTAGGCGATTAAACTGCTGCCCTGCCCCCATTTGCTGGAGGTATACACTTGGGCAGAATCTATAATGTCCTAGAATGGAGAACACAAACAGGGAGGTGAGTACAACCACACAATCTTAGCACCCAGGCAGGTGTGCACACACATATGTGCACGCACACACACACACACACACACACACACACACACACACATACACACACACACACACACAGAGGTGCGTGCCCACAGGTACACCCTGTGCTCTGACCTTGTTGTGGAGAACAACAACATTGTGGGGGTCTGCATTGAGCCAGGTGTCCATGGCCTTGCAGACGCTGCAGATCTTCTCCAGGGCCGGTGTGTGCAGATCAGGCCAGCCAAATTCCAGGACCTGTGGTTGAGACATAAGTAAGAAAAGGCAAGTCCAGGGACTCCATCAAGTCAGCCAGCACAGCATGGAAGTAGCCACCAGCAGCCAGGCCTCTGCTCTTGTCCTGCTCGCTAGTCCTGCTGAGAGGTAAGGCTTGAAGAGCAAAGGCCATGGCCTGGGACCCAGGCTCACAGTAGGGTCTTAGGCAAGCCATGTCCCTCTACCATGACCTCATGGATGTGTGCCAAGGTGTACAGCATGGAACTGTGATCTCAAAGCTTCCAGAGGGGCCTGAGCTCAGCCCTCCAACTCCCCTCCAAGGCTAGCTAGTTCAAGGCTGATTCATGATGACAAATGAAGGGACAGGGTCCCCTGGTGCTCATGCCACCTTAGATATACAGACTGTCCATTCTCAGGCCTCTGGGGGAAGTCTGAAGTATGAAGAAGCAGGGCTTCCCAGTGATCTTTAGCTCTCAAGCCCACAAAGGCCTCCTCGGGCCTTCTCTACTTTCACAAAACACTAAATGAAAAGAGCCGCCCTTTGGCAGGATCCATAGAACATGCCTAAGCCAGCTGTCCACTCTCAGAGACATGGTCCGAGGCCCAGAGAAGTCTGTCACCTGCCTGAGGTCCCACACTGACAGGCACCAGAATCCAGGACGGAAGCCAAGGTCCTCTGCAAAGTCTCTTAACAATCAAAGTAACAATCTACAATGCAGCGTAATCCCTGGGACAGGAGCCTATATAGAAAAGACACAGACACAGCCCCACTCTGTGCTGTGCTCCGGAAACCCTGGGCATTTCCTCCCCAGGGGCAGACGAGGCCAGAAACCACTGTGCGAAATTTCAGCAGTTGGAACTCTAGTCATTTTGCAGATCTGAGATACCCTTGAACTTGGAACAGTCATGGAACCGCACAAGAGGGGGGGCATGTTCTCTGTCCTGCTATCCCAGGCTAGACCAGGCCATGTCACCCTAAAACAGCCACAGACTCACCTTAGCGTGGAGCTTCGTGACATCAGGCCTCTGCTCGGATAGGTTGAACAGCTAGAAAGAGACGAAGGAAGAGTGAGAAAGGACAGAGTTTGTCCCCGCTTGTCAGGAGCCCGGCCACCGGCAAGCCCTGAGCCCCGGGACTCCTACCTATACCCACTGTCACTCTCCTGCCTAACGGCAATGTTTCCACCATGAACACATGCTGGCCGACAGGATCAGTAGAGAGCTCTCAGGAAAGGTGGAGGCTACCACACTCAGCCCCTTGCAAGGGGACATCCTGAACTGGGGATGAGAAGGGATGGAGCCCAGGCCACTGGTGGTGAGTGGCAGTGCCTGGCCACCTCTGGCTTTAGGACCAAATCCCACCATTTCTCTGTCTTGCAACCGCCTGCCACCATAAGGTATAAGGCATCCTAGTGGGCGCCCTCAAACACATGGAGTCCCACTCACATCCCAGAGCCTACCCTGTCTGTCTCCCATGTTCCTTGACCCCCCTGAAGGGCCGTGAGGAGCTGCTTGTCTCTCTCTTGCCACCACAAGTTTGAAAGTAGTTATGTCACCTCCTAGGAGGAGAGGGGACAGACCCCACAAAGGGCAGGAAGGAGGGGTTCGCGACAGAGCACAGACATCCTAAACTCTGTATTCCTGGAGCCAGAGAACTCCAGATACTCCCAGTCCCATTAAGGAACACACTTAATGACATTGACGAGGTCACAGAGCTGGCTTCGTAACCAATGGCCGGCCTCTCAGCTATCACAGAGCCAGAAGGAAAACCCAGGACTTTCCGTTATTTGAAGCCAAGCACTTCACTAATGCTCAGCGCGGATGACGGAGAGATTGTTACAGAGGCCTTCAAAGTGTGTGTCCGCTGAGAACTTCAGAATCTGGGACCTTTGGAAGTGGTTAAGGATCTTGCCAGGAGATATTCTTGAATTCAGGCTGATCCTAAGACCAGCAACTGGTGTCCTGATAGCCAGAGGGGAGACGGACAGGGAAGGCCAGGTGAAGGTGGAGGCCGAGAATGGAACAAGGTGGCCACAAGCCAGGGAATGCCTCGGAGTGCTGGGAGTGGGCAGGAGAGGGGAAGAGGCGAGGAAGGCAAGTTCCTCTAGGATTCAAGGGCGCGTGGCCTCACCGTCAACCAGATGCCGGGCCTCCAGAACACATTCCTGTCATTTTAAGCCAAATAGTGTGTGGTCATTTGTTCCAGCAACCCTGGACCCTTGTGCAACCTCCTCGGCCCAGCTCTGCTAAATGTGGCAAGCAGCACCCAGGGGCTCAGGGCCAGCAGTCCAGCCCCCACATATCTCCCTGGAGCATGGAGCTGAGCCTCCCCCAGGAACGGTCACCTTCCTGCTGTAGACAGTAGCTCTGCCACCCACCTCCCGGACATCTGGTGTCTCTAGCCAGCCCCGGGGTACCCCAAAGCTGCACATGGCCAAGTCTACTCCAGGGCTTACACCCAGCTCCACCAGCCAGACCTCAGCTCTCTCTAGGATCTGTTCTAAAGGTGAAGAAGAGGTTATCGGAGGGCCTGGCTTGTAGTGCAGGCTCAGTTAACATGAAACTGTGCCTTGATTCTCTTCTCCTAGTCTGCACACCGACACGTTCACACATCCTCACCCTCACACACACACACACACACTCGCACACATGCACTCCCAGGTACTCACCCATTCTCACACTCAACACACACTTGGTTCCAGACGCTACACTCAGCAGCACACGCTCTCCTGAGAACCAGCTCTCTCTGAGAGAAAGTGAAGGCCTGGCTGGGCCTTGCAAGATGCCCAGGGTAACGGAAGGAAGGGGTGCTGGCATGGGGAGTGAGCAGAGACTCTCGGCGTACAGGCGGTGAGCAAGAGGGAGGGTGAGGCCCACCCACCAGGTAGTTGCCCCCGTGTTTGGACTTCAGCATCTGGGCCACTTCACGGAGGTTGCTACGGAAGTTCTCCTCATTGGCTGTGCTGGGGAAGGACACGGCGATGATGCGTTCGGTGACGTACACCAGGTCCAGCTCACAACTGTCCTCCATGGCCCGGCTCACACTCATGTTTCTGGAGAGACTGCGTAGAAGACAGGTCCAGGTCAGAACCCAGGAATCCAACCCCGCCTCGAACACACTATGGACGTTTCTAAAAGGATCCAGAAGGGAGCGAGTGACTGGGGGTGGGGGGGTGCGCCCCCAGAATCCTGGAGCAGAGCCCTGGCCATCTCCATGCACTCAAACTGAGAAGACAGACGGGAGGCCTCCCTGGGGGAGGGGGCAGCTCAGGTGATAGCTCACATGGGCTCCAGCTGAGCCAGAGGCCAGGCACCTTCCAGCCTCCCTCGGGCAGGCTGACCCCTGCACTCCATCCCCGGCTCTCCCTGCAGAGATCATGGCCCCGGGGCCCCCCTCAATCCTAAAGGCCAGGGAGGTGAGAGGGTGCTGGGTGTTTGCCGCAGTGGTTTCAGGGGTCCTGGGAGCCGTGGGAGCCCCTGGGCCAGCAACTGTCTCTCCTCTAGACACAGGGTGAGGGAAACGGGGAACTCACAGCTTTATGCCATCTACCAGAGGAGGAGTCATGTTATCTACTGAGGTACCTCCTCCATATCCTCCTCCCTGTGTTACCCGTTACCACATCCTCCCTCCCTAGCCAAGGTGGGCAACACTCCTTATTTCGCTAACCTTCACTATACTATAGCAGTATGGGGTTGAGGTTGGAAGGGGGTTAAAAGCAGCAGATCCTCTGGCCTGGGTGACAAAGAGCCCCAGGACATCAAGGAGCCTAGAATTATCCAGATTCCACCAGACGGGGTTGACATGGGCCCAGGTGTCGGGATAGGTGTAGACAGAGGGCAGCCAAGAACAGTTCTCTCCAATGACACAGGGGTAGAAGTCTCTCCAATGACTGGGGTAGAAGCCCAGTTAGACCTGGACCGGAATCCCAGTCACTCCTTGTCCCTATTGTATCTCAGCAGCCACTGGACCGGAGCTCTAAAGAAGGGACTGCATCCTCCTCAGAAAAACTCATAAACCCAGCCCATTTCTTTCTAGCTTTTCCCTCTGAGAGGCAGAGGAGGGAGAGAAGCCAAGACAGCAACAAGCATGAGTCAGAGGTGGCCATCCTGGGATAGTGGACTGGACTGGACTTACCCAGCAGTTCCACTATCGGGCTGGTTCCCAGGAAGGACACAAAGGCAGAACAGCGCCACCAGCTGGACAAGATTGGCATCACAGCTTTAAGTGTGCCAGCAGTGGAAGGATGGGGTTGGGGGACCACAAAGGGCCATCTGGGTCTCTAGGAGCTCTAAGCAGAAACCAGGGAGCCTCAGAATGAAGGCAGAGAGAGGCAGGGTGTGGGCAAAGCTTGGAGTCTTCCTATGTGTTCTCTTCCCTGTGTGGAGAGCTCTACAAAGACTTCCCCACAGTCAGAGACCTCATCCACAGAGTCAGAACCAGCATGAGCCTCGATGGCAGCCGGCCCTGAGTGCCGCTTCTGACCAGTGGGTGACCTTGAACAGGTCACTGCAGACATTCAGCAGCTCAGTGCCTTCACAAGGACTGATGAGCTCATGCAGGGAAATACAGAGTCCACCTCAAAGTCTGTTCTAGAACTCACAATGATGACGGCCAAGGGCCACCAACTCTAGGTCCCTCCCTAGGACTGTAGAGCATCAGTCTTAGGACTCAGGACAGGACATGAGAATGCCCATACCCCATATCCTCCCTGTGTGCCGAGTGTACCTGAGAGGCTGTGGCTGCGGCTGGATGCTTGGGGAAACTCTCATGGAGTCCTGGGAAAGAGAAGATACAGTATTACAAGGGAAGAAGCGGGGCACTGGAAGGGAGAAGCAGAAAGGAGCCCAGGGCATGGCCACACACAGATCCTCACCCCCTTTTTGATCAACACTCCATCCCCGTCACCTTAACACACCAACACCCCAGCCACAAAAAACCAAAGGCCAAAAGTACCTGCTGTGGGAGAGACCCAGTTAGGTGGAAAGAGGAAATCTCTGATATGAAGACACACAACCACCCGACTGGCCCCCCTGCTCTGGGGACACACCAGCAATGGCTGGATTGGCAGAAACGCACCTCGCCCGAACTGTACCGGTCATCTGAATAGTAACCTCAACTAGAGATCACAGACAGCAGCCGCCAACGCTCTAGGGAAGCGAAGAGTATCTATCCTCCCCGGGCTAGCACTGAACCTGTGTCCTCTGTCACAGCTACCCCTCACTCCCCCTCCTCCAAAGCCACAACGCTGAGTCACCGAATCGATGGGAAAGCTTTGAGATGGAGCAGCAGGTGCGTGATTTACCATGGGAATCCACAGCCCCACATGTCTAAGGCTCCGTGTCTCTCCTCCTGTCTCCCCTGCCCCACATGCAGGGCATTGGCAGTACAAAATGAAGCCAACAAACCCAGGTTGGTGACCCAACTTTGCAGGGCAGCAGAGTGACATTCAGTGAAAGCATGGGATCAAGCCACACGGACTTGTGTGGCTCTAGGCTCCAGCATCCCGCTGGGCAGCATGGGAGACGCTTAGCCCACTGCACCTGGTAAAATGTCACCAGGATGTCACAGAAAGACAGGGAAGACAGGGAAGCCCTCAATAGCTTGTTACGGGCAGGCAAGCAAAAAAACAAAACAAACAACAACAAAAAAAACAAGAACAAAACAAAACAAACAAAAATATGCAGATGAGTCTCCTCACTCAGTGCCTAGCACTTGGTCAATGGTAACTATCACTTTAACTGTCATTCTCCTATCAACAAAAACTGAAAGAGAAGTTCCAGGAAGGGAAGGGACAACCATCCATCATCATGAAAAAAAAAAAAAGTCCTGCTTTCCTCTCCCTCAGCCACCGTCTACTCCAACCTATGCAGAACAGGGCACCCCAGTTCTGAATTCCTGGGCTCCACGGAGCCACCTTTCCTGGCCACCAAATGCCAGCCTCCCTTGGAGGCAGCAAGACCACAGTCTGCAAAGAACAGGTCCATAAGACACATGGTGACTCACCCCTGAATCCCTGGGAAATTGATGACGGAGCAGGATTCGAACTCAAGGAGCCCAAGTGGAGGGTACATATAGCACCCAATATGCAGAGTGTTGGGCTCTGAGGTCCAGCTCCCCATGGAGGACAGACACAGGGCCCCTGGCTGCGGGAGGGCTGGCCACCCTGCCACAGTGGGGCTGCACGGGGCTCAGCAGAACTGAGTATAAGGAGGAGCCAAACAGCGCTGTCAGAAGGAACGATTCTCAATCTCTCAGCATTTCCTGCCCTAGGACTGGGGGTTGAGTGAGTCAGGCTAGGGCAGGAGAGGCGGGGACCGGGGTGTTTGGTTTTCAAACCCTAAACCAGGCTGTTCCAAAACTCCCCACCCCAAAGCACGCAGAAAGCCAACACTTCATCCATCCCATTGCACTGGCCTCTGATGAGGAGGCCTTGACTCTCCTCAGGCCCTGGGCTGGGCTCCAGGCTCTAGGGCCACCCTGCTATAAATAGCCCCTAGGGCTTCATCTGCTACGGATCCACAGCCACTCTTGAAGGAAGCCACCACAGCTGCTTCGAACAACTGGAAGCCACAACTTAGCCAAGGCTTACGGTGCAGCCAAGATCAAAGCCAGGCGCAAGCAAGGAGCTGGAGGGAGACATTGGGCCATCTGAGCCAGAACTGACAAAGGAACAGGAGAACCAAGCAGAGTTGGGAGCCTCCAAAGGCACAGGGCAAAGGATGCACAGGACCCAGAGACCAGGCTCTCAGTCCGGTTCCCCACCACCCTCTGGCCAAGGTTATAACACTCCACATTCCTGACTCCCGCCTGGAAGATAAATACTTGGCCCAAACAGAGTCTGGCCCTGCCGCCTCCAGAGGTGATAAGAAAAGGTCCAGGCACTCTGCAGCCGGGTGGCTGGGGCAGAGATGCACAGGGGAAGCTGTCCTGGGCAGGGGACAGGGACCAACAGCTGGACGGTCACCCCTTGATGAATCACAGGGCTGGGCTGCACTTGTACCAACAGGGCTTCCTGTTTTCTGCAAGGTTTGGAGACACATGACCCTTGCTGGCAGAATGCAGGCCTGCTCGGGGACTGTGGATGCATTCAGAATGCACAGAACAGTCAAGAGGCAGCCAGGAGCAAACACACCCCTCTGGGTGCTCCAGCCTGCCCAGGTGACTCCCCATGAGACAGCAGGGTAAGCTGAGGTCTGGAGTCGGCTCTGTGCCCCGCTCATGGCCAGCATTCCCTTGCGGGTTAAACTTTCACGGAGGCTGTGTTCTAGGCACCTGGGAGCAGAAGTGGAGAGGTCCAAGCCTCACCCTCATTCTGTACAGAGAGATCATTGTCAGTCCAGCCGGCAGGACGCACAGTGGCTTAGTCTCAGGAACTCGTTGGTAAAATGGGGGCCACACAGGGCTCTGGAATCTTTTACCTGCCCCACTTGGGACTCCCTGGGGAAGGTTTATTTTAAAAAGGAAAATAAATTCTCTGCCTGCCTGGAATCTCATTCTTTTCCCCTCTAGGGAATCTCAAAATTCTTAACTTCCTACGAGCTCCTCCCAAGACGGACCAATAATAGAACTTTTGATCCAAATCCCCAGGCACCAAACAGTCTACCCTATCCTCATCTCTCAAACATGTCTCTCCTTTGCAGAAAGGCCTCCATGAAAGGGGATTCCGTAGCCTCCCCCTAACCAGCGTCTTTCCTCACTGTCAGGACGTCCCTCCTCATATCTAACCCTCATCCTTCCTGCTCTGGGCACCAACTCTTTTTTCCTTGGTCCTCCCTGCAGGCGGGAGCTGACCATAACTCAGGCGTTCCTGAGTAGCTCCAGTTCTGCAGCCTGGGGCTGTGCTATTTGCTACCTTCCTTCTGCTCCCCATAGCCCTATCCACGCAGCAAGAGCTATGGGAACCTTGAGTTTCTGGTGGGGCTTGTGTGCAGCTAGAAGCTGGGAGAAATCCTGCTTTTCCTTCAGGAGTAAACAAAACACCTCTGGACAGAAAAAAAAAAAAAATGGTTTCCTGAACCTAGGTCCCCAGGGTCCCAGCTGAGAGGAGGGTCTACCAGTGAACACCAGGGGTCGAGTGAGGCAGCCAGAGCCCAGCCCTTCATTCCTGCATCTCCTCGGGTTGAGGCCCCCCACACAGGCCCCTGCGGCCACACCTCTTCCTGCCCCCCCCCTTCCTGCCCACCACTTGGATTTTTCCAAAACAAAGTGCGACACAGCACACGTCTGCAGCCTCCACTGCACACCAGCTACATCAGAGGAAACCGCCTGGAGAGGCCAGAGCAGGAAACACCCCACAAACAAGCCAGTGCCCTGAGCCGGTTCCTCCTTCCCGCTGCCCAGCGTACAGAAGAGCCCTGGCGGGGCAGCCAGGAGACCAGTACTGCAGCCCCGGGGTCAACCCACCTATGACAGATGTCTGGAAGCCTGACGGCGGGTTTCCATTCCTCTGCAGCAGGCAGGCCCTTCTGGGATCTGCCCTCCTGCTTGCCCTTCTTACACTCCTTTATTGAGACTCATTTTCTCCGACCTCCAACCTCCAGACGAGGCACCACCCTGACCCACCCTAACACACAACCACTTGCAGATTCACCGATCCCACACCAACGGAGGTCTTTCCTGAAAACTAAAACAAGACACCATCAAACACAACTAAGTGGTCACCTCTTCCATGCGACCAAGGTCAAACATGCCCTCGGGGTCATTAGCTCTTCTAGATGTCTAACCGTACGACTTCTGGTTTGGCTATAGTTATGGATTCCATTTGGCCCAGGCTAGGGATGCAGGGTCAGAAATCCTAGGACGTAACTTCTAAACATGCCCAGAACATCAACTAAAAGTAATGATTCAGAGGCTAAGCTCCTGGATGACACGGATCCAGAGACATTCGATGGATACCTCGTTTCTGTTTCCTCATCTATAACACGGAGCCACAGCATCTGCCACACACCTTGTTGTGAAGGTATACAACCTCCCAGCCTAGCTCCTGGCCCCGGAAAGAAATAATGGCATTAAGACCAGCTGATATTTACAAAGCACCCATCAGAGCTGGGAGTGCCTTGAGCTAGTTCATCTTTTGCGACAACACACACAAAACTAAATTCCCGAAAGCATCCCGAGGACCAGTGAACAGGGATCCTCACGTACCTCCAGGGAGCCTTCCCCCAACCTAGGAGTCCACGCGGCCCCTGGACAGTTCCACTCCTTATTGCTGGGTCTATGGCGGCCCAGGATGGTGCAGCAGTATCGGTGGGCCACCCTCGGGAGCTGCTACAGCTCAGCCCCTCCCTGCGGGGCCCTCCCTACCAGAGGCCAGGCAGCTGTCAGATGATAGGGCCTCGTGCCATCAACAGCTCCCCCTGTGCCAACCGCCAAAACCACTCCCTGTTCCTCTCCAGGCCTGCAGTGGACGGAGGGGCCAGCATGGGGCACAGGGTAGAAAAGACCCGAGGAAGGTGAAGCGTCCTCTGTGGGGTCCGCCGGGGGTAGAGAGACAAGCCAGCCCCAGCAGAGATCAGGGGCTCCTGTGCCCTAGCCAGAGTTCCTTCTGATTGAGGAACTTGTCCCCTGCCCCCCCACCCCCCCTCGTAAGACCAAAGACAAAATGAGCAAGGACCAGATAACCTTCTTCTTCTTCTTCCAGAATCCTGAATCAAAAGCCGAAAAGTCACACAGCATTCGCCATTTCCCGAGACTCCTGGCTCCAGGCAAGCACCCCGACAGTGTCTCCAGCATCTAGGGACACCTTAAGAGCCCAGGGCCCCTTTACAGAGCCCTGTTTCCCTCCACCCTTTCCAAGCCTGCCTTCCACCAAGCCTAGCTCTCAGATCCGTCTCTCTGTTCTTCCCTCACCCAGAACTGCCATGGCATAGTGACGAAGACCAGAGCCAAGCCTGAGCCCAGCAAGTGACTTCATGGGCCTTCTCTTTCCCCAGCACTCTAGTCAAGCCAGCCAGGCCCCCTTCAAGAGAGTTGCAAAGGTCGAAGGGCACTGCCCCCCACACACACACTCCTGCTCATTACCCTTGAGAGCAGTCTTGGCCCCTGCCCTCCTTATACTCACCCCTTCCTGGAGGCTTTTTGGAGAGCTTCCACCCTTGTGGTCTCCTTCCCCCTGTAGGCAGAGGAGAGGCTGTCAGAGATGGGGCAAGATGAACAGTGCAAGGTTCCAGAATTCCTACCTGCTGGAGTCAGGGTGGAGCGTGAAAGGGTAGCAGAAGGTGGGGGGGGGGGGTACCTGAACACCTGAAGGCCCGGTAGAGGAAGGTAAACCCTCTCCTTTGGGCCTACCCCCTGTGGGACACTGTTATTCCATTTTGAAGATGAGAAAGCTAAGGCCCAGACACGCTCTCCCTCACCTGAAGTCCTACAGGTAGGGTCTTTGCCTCCAGCCCATAGTTTCAAGCTGGCCTTTCCCATCCAACAACTCTTCCAGTCTCAGTTTCCCCCAATGCAGAGCCCCCCCCACATTCTTCTCATCCTCTCCCATCCAGCCTGGAGGAAACTCTGTTCATGTAGTCCAAAAGATCGGTGGGAAGTCTGCCCAGCTTTCTCATATTCCACCACTCCCATGGCCTCTTTGTGTGTGCATGTGGGTACGTGTGTGCGTGCATGTGTGCGTGCATATGTGTGTGTGTGCGTGTGCGTGTGTGTGGATGCACATGCGTGTGGATCACCTTCACAAACCTGTATTACTAAAGCAGACAGGTCCTGCCACCTTCCTACCCTCTCAAGCAAGATTGGCATTTGAGACAGGATCTCTCACTAGCCTGGGACTTGTCCCCAAGGGTCCCGCTGTCCCTCCCTCCTCAGCCCTGTGGTTATGAGCATGTGCCACCCGACTGGGCTTTTTTCCAGGGTCGTTTCTGGGGATCGAACGTAGACGTTCAGGCTTGTACGGGTACTTCCCTGATGGAGGGTTACCAGGGCCTCCCTTTTTTTTTTATTTTTTTTTGTTTGTTTGTTTGTTTGTTTGTTTGTTTTGAAAGAGGTCTCACTTCGTAGCCCAGGCTGAACTAAACCTGAGGGTTAACCCTCCTGCTTCAGCCTTCTGGATGCCAGGTTTACAGGCCTGAGACATTTAGCATATTTCTTGCAGACAGGCTTCGTCACTGATCTCCTCCACAGCCCCACCCTGCTCCCTCTCTGTCGGCCTCTCTCAGGCAGCCCATGGCTGCACACAGGTTCCAAGATTATCGGCACCCCTTCCTCCAGGCTCCAACCCCTGCCCCATCTCTAAACCCACCTTCCCGTACCCCCTTCCAGCAGGGGCCCCCTCATTCTGGCCCTTCTGTCACTCACCACATCCACTACATTCTTGGGGACAGTCTCCGTGGTGATGGGCTAGGGACAAAAACAGAAAACAGTGAAACATGCTGGCACAGCTGCCTTCTAGGCCGGCAGTCAGGGTGGTAATAAGGGCACAGTCCCAAGCTTCAAGACATCCCTTGGCTGGTCCCAAGCTGGGGAAGCAGCCTTTGCAAAATGACACACAATCTTATTAGTCATGGTCATGGAGCCATCCAGTTCCGCCCTCACCAAGGGCCCACACTAGGTGTCCACGCAAGCCTCAGACCACTCAATAAATGAGGATGACGGGACAAAACACTCTGACCCTAGCCAGGGCTTTCACCTCCACTGTGTCTACCCAGGCCAAGAACCCATAGAGGCAGGACCACCATGGCCTGCGAGCCCCAGCAAACGGACAGAAGTTACGAGAGAGGCCCAGGAGTATGGACTCCTGGGGTCAGAGCCTGCCTGCCAAATACCGCCCAAGTCCCAGCTCTCCAGTGGCCTGCTGGCCCCACCCTTGGTACCTCTGGTACACATACACACAAAGCACGTCCATACCCACTCGACACTGTGCCTTCTCCTCCTCCTTGGTGGAAGCTCTGACTATACCCCGCATGGTACCCCATTGCCCCTCCCCCATCTGTACCTTCCTAAAGGAACGGTCTTATCTGGCCCTATATACTGCATTCCTCAGTTAATTTGGGAATTTGAGATTTTGTTTTTATTATTTTTTTTATTATGTGCATGTGTGCATATCCATGTGTGGATTTGTTGACATGAGTGCAGGTGCCCATACAGGCCAATAGTATCAAATCTCTGGAACTAGATTCACAGGTGGTTGTAAGCCATTCCACAGGAATGCTGGGAACTGAACTCCAGTCTCCTACAATGAGCAATACATGCTCTTAACTGCTAAGTCATCTCTCCAGCCCTGATTTTGGATTCTGGGTCTACCTTCATCCAAGTAAGCATTAGGGACATTTTGTTCAGCTCAATAGTAACTCCCTAATGCCAGGAACCAGGGGGACCAGAAATGGGCCAAACATGCACAGATGGTCCATCCCAGCATTCTCCCTCCACCCCAGTCCACACAGGAGCTTCATCCTAAAAGTATCCAGAAGAATAAAGGGGGTGGGGGTGGGGGGACAGTGTTCTGTCACTCCAAGAGGGAATTGCGACCACCAGAAAGGCTACTGGCACTGAGTGTCCCACCTACCTAGAACGTCTGAGTCATCACATGCTGTAGGGACCAGGAGTGTGCATCTCCAACAGGGTCCTGGATGGCTCTAAGAGGAGACCGCCCAGCCCATACCCTGACTCTGCTGTCAACAGGGTGACCGTAAGTAGGCTACCTGACCTTGTGCCCACCTCATGGCTGCCTGGGGTAATTGCATGCTGAGTGAATGGAATAAAGGCTCCCCATGAAGAGGGCCTGGCTCCTAGCACAGGCTAGTCCTTACTGCTTACCCTCTCACTCTGGAGTTCTCCGACAACAAGGAGGCCCGCCCAGCCCCACCCTACTCAGACCCATGCCCAGCCTTCTCCAAGCCATAAAACTACAGGCCTCAGCAGAGTGGGAGAAATGCACCCTTCCTGCCAGGGATCATCTGAGCGCTGTCCCCTCTGCCCCCACCCCTTCCCTCGCCAGCTGGAGGCCAGCCACAGGCAAGAATCGCCAGCAGTCAGATGCCTTCAACACACTGTCCCGCGTGTCTCCTGAGGAGCTAAAAATTTCCAAACACCCAGATTGCCCTGCAGAGTTCATAACCTCAGCCCAGCATGCATGCATCCCTTCGACCCTAGTTCTCCAGGACTAACTACCAGCCCTTAACTACCTGAGAATGGAAAAATGCAGGGACTGGTCCCAGCTGGGCAGAGTTGGCTAAGGCTGCCCAAGCTCTCACATGGCACAGTAGGGAAGCTCCCAGAGACTCTCCAGGGCAGGCGGAAACTCAGAAGTAGCAGCCTCAGAGAACTGTGGGACCTCGATTATACCTCAAGTGCAGGTCCTCCATGCAAACAGGCAGGCAGGCAGGCACACATGCACATGAGTGCGTGTGCAAGCACACACACACACACACACACACACACACACACACACACACACACACACACACACACTAGCCCTCCCTGGTTGATTTTTAGTTCTAAGGAAAATAGGTGTTTATTTATTTTATATGTATGAGTATGTGCCTGAGTGGACATATGTGTACCACTTGTGTGCAAGTGCCTGTAGAGGCTGGAAGAGGGCATCAGATCACCTAGAACTTGGGTTACTGGTCACCTAACGTGGGTGCTGGGAATTGAACCAGGTCCTCTGCAGGAGCACCACGTGCTCTTAACGATTACGCCATCTCTCTAATCTCTGATTTTTTTTTTCCTTAGAACATACTGCTCTCCAACATTCTATTTTGTATTTACCAACATCCTTTACAGCCTGTCTCTCACCGAAATATGAGCTATGCCCACACTGAGCACAGAACAGTGCCTGGCACACTGTGGGCCCTGGGGAAACATCTGTGGAATGAACAGTGTCTCCTTGCTCCCTTCTCTGATACCCTCATCATACTCAGAATTGACTGATAGTACAACAGCCTTCACCTTCATTTTTTGTTTAGTTTTAGATCAGGACCTTTCTAAACCAAATGCATGCACGCATGCACACACATGCAATGCACACCACATCCTCACATGCCACTCAAAGACAAGCACTCCTAGAGGGCCTTGAGACATCACCTCCTCCTGCCCCCTGACCCACAGACAGGAACTGAGGTGTAGGTGGAAGACCTGCCAGGATCTTGAATGAGACGCAAGGCAGGACCAAGTTACCCCAGGCCTGCAGAGCCCAGTGCCAAATTCATTTCACTGTCCCTCTCCTGGGGTCAGTTGTCACCTCAAGGTCAGCTACATAAGGGTGGTTCACGTGGAATCGAAGCAAGGACAGTGCTGGCCTCACACAGGAGTCCCTAACCCCTGCCAGCCCAGGTCTAGAAATTGAAAGTGGTACCCCCCCACACACACACACACCTGTCTTGCATTCTGCACAGTGTCTCTGTCCCTGAGAGGCCATGCCTCCTCACATTTGGCACCTGACTTGCCTCCACTGTCTCCCCCTAGTGCCAGCCATGATCTAGAGATACCTTTTCCCAAGGCTGAAGAAACAACAGCAGCTTGATGTGCAACAGACTGGGGACCAACCAGGCTCTGCAGTTTTCATCCCAACTCTCACAGCATCCTGGGAAGTGCATGTCACTCATCTCACAGATGAGGCGAGTGGACAACGCCTGGAGGAAGAGAGCTGGCATCTGAACGGCCCTCATGTCCTCACAGGCTCCCTCCTTCTCTCACTCGCTTTGTGTGTGTGTGTGTGTGTGTGTGTGTGTGTGTGTGTGTGTGTGTGTGTGTGTGTGTGTGTGTGTATAGATGTGCGTGCGCTTAAGTGCACCTATGTGAAGACCAGAGGACATCATGTATCTCCCTCTATCGCTCTCCACCTCACTGATTTGGCTACTCTGGATGGCTAGCAAGCCCCAGGGCTCTTCCCGTCACTATCCAGTACTTGAATTACAGGCAAGCATCACTGTGCCTGGTTCTCCATGGTACTGGGATTGAACTCGGGGTCTGCATGCTTGCACGTCAAGCACTCTCGCCCACTAAGCCATCTTCCTAGCCCCTTTCAGCAGAGACCCCCCACTTCTGGGGCCCTCAAGGCTAGCTACAGCAGACCCTCGCCTAGGGTCACCGCTAAAAACAGACTGCTTCCCTGCACTTTCCTAGGAAGACTGGGAAATGGGAGAGACTGCGGTGGGAGAGAGAGAATAGAGGACTTCCTGAATTTGCCATGAACCACAGGGTGGGTAAGGAAGCTGCACATCCTTTCTTCAATTCCCCTCCATCCACCCGAAACAGACACGCATGCCCACTCCCTTCCTGTGGACATGCTGACTGATCGAAGGTGAGCACGTCCTGGAAGACTGGAAGGCTGGGACACCTGCGTGCGGATCATATGGTAGAATGCACTGGTGGCCTGCAGGGAGGCTGCGTCGGGGGGAAAAACGTATCTGTGGGCTGATGTTTAGAGGAAGGAAATACTGGACCTTGGGGATGCCCCAGCCTTAGCCCAGGCCTCGGGGGCAAGAGGGAGGGTGCAGAATGCAGACTCAGCCTCCCGCGGAACATTCTGTCCAGAACTCTTGAAACCCTCAGCTCTAGCCTGCCAGCTCTCTCTGCTCTTGTCCCAGGGGAAGTCTGGAATCTGGGCAGTTTGGGAGCCAAAAAGACCCCGTGACATCACATCTGCCACCACGCTGAGGATCTGTGAGGTCACCCAGCACTACCTATCTTGGGAGGGGAAGGGCCTGGGAGCTAGTGGGGACAGCCAGAAGGGGCTGGAATTGCTCAGCTCCAGGGCCCAGGGAAAACTATTCTGGGCCCACTTCTTTCCCAAAATAGAACTGTAAGTAGATATGGGGTCCGCGGAGTGCCGAGGGGCGGGGGACAGCGCATGACATTTGGGGATATTTAACAGAGTATGGTAGAGGGGAGCTGGGTTGCATACTGGAGGCCCAGCCTCTTAACATCCCATGGGGGGCACCTTCTCAAGAGTAATAATAACAACATCAACCCACAGGCAGCAGCGGCGGCAGAGGAAGCCAGAGCCTCCACTCTGAAAGCCAGCTTTGGGTCAACTGTTTGCCCAGGCCTCCTGAGCCATCCATCCTTCCACTTCACGGTCACAAGGGTTGGGGAAGGAGCATTCGGCTCCTCTTCTGGCAGTTTCCAGGAGGATACTCAGTTCTACGTGAGCCCAGGTCTGCCCTCCGAATCTGTGTCCCTGCTCTGCGCCACTCCGCCACTCCGAAAGCACCAAGAGGCGACAGAGGTGGGGGTGGGGGTGGGTACGGGAAGAGCTGGGGCTGAAGACGCAGGACCCAGGGCAGGCAAGAGGCCCAGGTGGCAGGAACACTGACCTAAACGTCCAGGTCAGGCGGCTGCCAAGGCCACAGCCTCTCTCAGACACACTCAGGCCATCAAGGGAAAAGAACAGGCTC